GAAAAGCCTCCATGAGCCCATGTACATTTTTATTGCAGCTTTGTTACTGAACTCTGCTCTTTTCAGCACAGTTGTCTTTCCAAAACTCTTGATTGACCTTCTGTCGGAAAGGAGGACGGTGCCTCTTTCAGTTTGTTTCTTTCAAAGTTTCATGTTTTATGCTTTTGGTAGTTCAGAATTTTTACTGCTGACAGTCATGTCCTTTGACAGATACGTGTCTATATGCAAACCTCTGCAATATCCAACGATCATGACCAAAAGGACTGTGAGCATCCTCTTGGCTTTAGCTTGGGCTATATCTTTTTTTTACATGGGTTGTTTTGAGTTTGTTATATTGAATTTCTATAAACAAATCTGCAGATTTACCCTTGAAGGGCTCTTTTGTAATAGCCAACTTTACAATATTCTCTGTGCACGTGCACTAGCTATAGATGTACTGAGTATGATCATAATGATTATTGTAGCATTTCTCCCTGTGACTTTAATATGTTATTCATACACCAGGATAATGATAATATCGTATAACAGTTGTAAAGAGGTCAGAAGAAAAGCTGCACAGACCTGTTTGCCTCATTTGTTGGTTTTAGTCTGCTTTTCCTGCTTAGGTGCTTCTGATATTATTGTTGTTTTCATAGAATCGAATTTTTCAGAAACTGTTAAATTTGTGATGAGTTTACAGACTGTCTTGTACAACCCCCTGTCCAATCCAATCATATATGGGCTGAAAATGAAAGAAATTTTCAAGCAAATCAAAAAGCTCCTTTGCAATCACCAAATTAGTCAATTTTAAAGACTGAAATCTCAGCATTTATGGATCGATTGTGTTAAAAGAAATCATTCTTCTGACTCTGAGGTTATGTCATGTAATATAATGAGAAATTACTTAAATATTTTGCTTTGCATACACCGCATGAGCTCCAGACTTAATCTCTTTTTGACAGAGATCCCTGCAATATGAGTATAGAAACAAATACAAGAGACACTCGTTTTTAATCTTTTTTTAGCATCCAGATTTTGCTAGGTTGTTATCACAGTTCAGTTCTTTATTCACACAATTTATTTTCTTTTTTCTTTTTTTTTCTGTTGGATTTGTTATTTTATTTTATGTCCTGCTGAGTGTCTGATGCTTCTACGTTTATACACTACAGAAGAAAACACTTCCAAGTATTTTTTTAGTGAATAATAACAGTGTAAATGATGTCGCTTAACTTTACAAAAAGTGGGCAATAGTAACTCTTTTTAGCTCACTTAATTTAGTCTCCCGGTTTTTAGTTGATAAGTTTGACAAAAAATACCAATGATGCGAACTGCACATGGAATCGTCTGTGTTTTTGTTGAAAAGTCTGTTGACAGTTTTAGTAATAATCACAGTTTTCCCTCCCAGTGACCTGAGGGTAATTCCTCATTATAGAAGTTATATTTATTTAAAAGTCTCAAACATTTAGAACATATGAATTATTATCAGGCGGCTCTGTGGTGTGGTGGTGAGCACTGTCGGTAGGTACTGGGTTCGAGTCCCGGGGGACTCTCCGGGTTCTCCAAGTTCCTCCCACAGCCCCAAAACCTGAATGGTAGGTTGATTGGACATTCCAATATGCCCTTAGAAGAGAGGTTGATTGTATTTGTGTGTCTCTATGTGGCCCTGCAATGGACTGGTGGACAATCCAGGGTGTACCCCGCCTCTCGCCCATTGACCACTGAGATAGGCTCCAGCCCCCCCTTAGGGAATAATTACGAAAATGGATGGATGGAGGGATGGACTGACATTGATATCTCATCTGCAGCCATTTTAAGGAAAAAGCACAGTTACAAATGAGGAAGATAAGTGAGTCCAGGAAGGATGACTCAAACATCTACACACTGAAGATCCATGCATAAATGTTGTAAAGTGACTATGCTAAAGACTATGATGGTGAACGTCTACACAACCATCATAAAGTCCATCCTCACATCCTCCATCACCACCTGGTAGGCTAGTACCACCACCAAGGACAAAGTCAGGCAGCAGCAGATCCTCCACTCTGCAGAGGAGGTGATTGGCTGCCACCTTCCATCCCTCAATGACCCGTACACCTACAGGTAGCTGAATTGAGCAGGAAAGATTGTCGCTGACCCCTCCCACCTGGACCTAGACTCTTTCAGACTCTGGCAGGATGTTGCGGTCCAACAGGACCCAAATAACATTTTACATGAACTTGTCTTTTGTAGCGCCAATGCCCTCCCATCTAATGTGTACTTCTGACTGCACTGCAATAATGTTTGTTTGCACATAATGATTACACCTGCATTACATTCATGTACTTTTTGTTTTGCACTACTCTTCCTTAGTTCTCAGTTTAAGTTACCCTGTAAGTTTAGTCTACTGTTACACTTATAGTTAGCAATGCTCTATTTACACTTCATCATTGATCTTTTATGTTTCTTAATTCTTTGTGTATTCTTCATGGTCTGCACCACAACCAGGTCAAATTCCATGTGTGTAAAAATACTTGGTCAATAAACTTGATTCTGATTCCAAATTTACAAGCAGATCAATCCTTACTAAGTTGACCCTGATTTTAGTTTTTAACTGTGACAATGAGCAGCATATTCTGACACTAGACACCACGATAGGATCAGAAGGTAGACGTTTCCTTGGTGAAATGATTTGAGAGAAAGCAAGAATTAAGATCAACAATCAATCCCAGTCAGTGAATTTTAGACTTTTCTGTAGCAAAGACATGCTGTGAGATTAGCAAACTGGCTGCATTTAAAGGATATGAACAACTGAGAGTCATCAGCATAAAATGGGCATTTCCATTACGGACAATAGAGGGGGTTTAACAGGACTTTTGTACAGCAATTCAGAGTTTGATTATGTCCCGAAACTAGCTTGATTTAAAATAATGCATATTTAGTTTGAAATGCACTATGATGTTACATTAAATTGTCCGTCATTGTATTGGAGCAGCAACAAAACCCACAAACCTAAAAATATTGATCATTTTTCATCTTTATTAATGCTTTTCTGTTTTGATATTAAGCACCGTCGCCTCACAGCAAGAAGGTCCTGGGTTCAAGTCCCGGAGGACCCAGGACCTTTCTGCGTGGACTTTGAATGTTCTCTCTGTATCTGCGTGGGTTCTCTCCAGGGTTCTCCAGCTTCCTCCCATAGTCCAAAAACCTGCATTTTATGTTATTTGTCCTTTTATTTCCTGTGTGAGGCCCTGTGATGGACTGATGGACTGTCCAGGGTGTACCCTGCCTCTCGCTTATTGACCACTGGGAAAGATTCCAGTTCTCCCCGCGACCCCATTAGGGAACAAGCGGTAACGATAATGGATGGATGGATGGATGGATGCTTTGATATTAATTTAAGATAGAATCCGTGTTAAAGCAGGAGGACTTTGTTTTTTTTGTGCACATATCAGGTGAACACATTATGCAAGTCAAGCACTTATTTGGTTTCTATTTTTTCAAAGTCCCTGATATTTTAATGCTCCATATTTATTCATTATCAGATAATTTGTTCCTAATTATGAGTTATGGCATTTTCCAGTCATTTTATAGCGAGGTGAACTGATGGAGAAAACAGGGAAGTTTTCACCATTGTAGCCGAAAACAAACTGCAAAAAGTTAGCTGCAAACATTTTACTTCAGCCTCTAGAGTTTAAACTGATCATGGAGTCTTAGAGGACAGCTGTAGGGATTCCTCTGAGGGAGAAGCAAACTTTATAAAAAAAGAGCTCACAGAATTCAAATGCTCCAGTCCGAATATTGTTTTGTAAGTGCTGGATCAGATAAGTATATATGGCAAAGGAAATATGATCCAATTCACACTCTATGCTATTCATATCTACCTTCCCTGTGATTCGCTTTTAATCATTATTGTTTTAACTTGGAGAAGCTCGATGGAGGCTGAACTGAATGTTACGTTTCTAACTCTTGATGGATTTGTGCAGCTGCATAAATTCAGGTATCTGTATTTTGTCATCCTGTTTCCAGTTTACATCCTGATACTCTGCTGTAATTTCACTATTGTGTTCCTGGTTGTGTTTAAGAAAAGCCTCCATGAGCCCATGTACATTTTTATTGCAGCTTTGTTACTGAACTCTGCTCTTTTCAGCACAGTTGTCTTTCCAAAACTCTTGATTGACCTTCTGTCGGAAAGGAGGACGGTGCCTCTTTCAGTTTGTTTCTTTCAAAGTTTCATGTTTTATGCTTTTGGTAGTTCAGAATTTTTACTGCTGACAGTCATGTCCTTTGACAGATACGTGTCTATATGCAAACCTCTGCAATATCCAACGATCATGACCAAAAGGACTGTGAGCATCCT